GCGACATCCAGAGTACTTAGGCATACATGCACAAACAATATAGTTCTTGAACAAAAACAGAAATTGATGAAAATCTGCAGGCCTGGCAGCATCTGTGGAAAGAAAGTGTTAATGTTTCGAGTCCAGTGACTTTTCATCAATTTAATTCTTAACTCTTCCTTAACAATCTAACAAGTGCCCTTATTTTCTGAGGTGTTTGGAAATTCAACATGAACTTCATTTATATTGGTTACTATCACAGCAGCTTTACCATTCATTTGTACTAAATAGTTATTGAACTAATGAAAACAGCAGGGTGATAGGCGCTTGGCAAGAGAAATAAAATCACTGTGGTATATGATTAAGCTGCAGCCTTGGGCACAGAGCAGCCCTCCGGGCTCAAGCTTGCAGCCTCTGAATCCTGCAGTGAGAAATGTGAACGGCACACTGTCCAACTCTTTGTTTTCTAAAAGCAAAATCAGTTAATTAAAGATGTCGGAACAAACAGTCTGATGCAATCATTTTTTTGATTCAGATTTCTTTTTGCGTGATAACTATATAGGATATATTCAGAAAGCTTACCGTGTAGAATTTAACTCCTTGAACAGATGCATCTATGTAATCTGAGTGAAATGTACTTGAATTTAGCATCTAGACACAAGGTTGGTTTTTAACTCTTGATTTATTTGAATTTTTCAGTTGCCGAATGATCAGAATGTGTCTAGTACTCTTTGGTTTTGCTTTATTGAGTACAATGGATACAGGCTGTTATTATCAGCTGGGATTGTAATGCCGTTCATCAGATCTCAGTGAAATCTAGCTTGATAAGCCATGAGTTATATTTTTGCTATTTGTTTACCATGGTGGCCAGATACTGTCAATGTATTTGTAACAAAAGGGCATGTAATGTTATTACACAAAAGCTAAACATTAATTATATTACACTACAGAAGAAGCATTTGAAATGAATTCATTACAAATGTCATCAAGAAAAAATTAATCATTTTATTCCCAACATCAACATTTCAGATGTTTCCACCTTAATAAAGAGTGACCCTGTCTCCACTTTAAAATTCCTTGTTTGTTTGGTGTGACTGTAACAATAGTTTTGATAAATTTCTGCATTTACTTTGTCCTGTTTTTCTATCTGTTCCTGGGACCCTTAATGAAGCTGACATCTCGCTTCACTTGTTATTTAATTTGTGTTCCTGAAACCATCTCTTCTGTGCCTTCTGTTGATGTAGATTTACTGTTGCTGACGTTTAAGCTACTGACTTCTTTTCAATCCAGACTGTTTTAGAGACTACTTGAACTAACGGCATTCTGTTGCTACAGGCTTTCCCTTTTCCTGAAACCTGCACATACTGCCCTCATTCTTCTAGATGGTTATGACTTTGTGTTACAGGAGTCATCTTGTTAGACAAGAGCAGCTTTTCTTATAACTTTTTTTTCTAGTGCACAAACTGTTTGTCTCAAGGGTTCAACCACATTTGTAAATTGCATGCAATCAAACTAGTTATAGACATGCCAGCGCCACTCAAAAATTAAACTGTGACTGTTCTCCCTGTTTTAACATTCTGTATGGAAATATAATTCAAACTTAAAGTTATACATATTCCTCTACTTTACTATTTGGAAACAGGTTCAAATAATAAAATAAATCTTCATCATAACTGAGTATGTCTCACAGTCATGAAATATTGCTCTCTATGATAATGAAAGAAGTTATGTGCCAGAAATTTATTTTTGATGAAAATTCAGAAATAAAACTTCCTCACTGTTACACTAAAAGCACTCTGTGATTGATGCCTTTCAAATCAGCATGTTATATTTGCTATAGAGATAACAAGGTGTAGAGCTGGATGAACACAGCAGACCAAGCAGCATCAGAGGAGCAGGAAAGCTGACGTTTCGGGTCTAGACCCTTCTTCAGAAATTATGTTTGCTAAACTCGTTTACTGTAAATATGTTTTTGTTTCTCAGCTATCATAATTTTAAACTTATTTGTAATTTAATTTTTATTTAATTTCAGAAAATGATTAATTTTGTGTTAGCTTTATTAGACTTGATGTGTGTGTTTGTATGAACTGTCTTGGGGCTATACAGAGCTGACTCAGTCTATTGTGGTAGAGGAAAACTACTTGATAGTCTAATCATAAAAGCCTTTTTTAAAAATACAATGCAATTTATTAATACAGTATTTTCTAATTAAACCGATCAGAAATGGTGTTAGACAGCTTCAGAATAAATGGGACTTGAAATTGGATCTCCTGGCTCAGAGGTAGGGACACTACCACTGTACCAAAAGAGCCCTACAGTGTAGTTTATTGCATGATACCAAGTAAGTACAAGTCACAATGATGTAGTATAAATATGTTTTGAAGACTGTTGAAAGCCCAGATTGTAGGTGTTACTCCTTTGAGAGTCTAAGCTGTCTATCCCTTCCAACCACACCAAAAAATCAAGTCTATATGACATCATTGTAGTTGGTGGTGCTTATTGGCACTTCCCTGCATTAATCCTTTTTGATCCTTATACCCCTGTACAACAGAGGAGTTGTTTGATTTCTTATTGTGTGATTGCTGCCCAAACTGCTTTTTTTTTTACTGCTAACTGGTATGTTTACATCTAATGTTGTTCAATCTCCTTTATGTCTTCATTTCAGTCTTCCCTCTCATTCACTTGCTTGCTTTCTTCCCATCCAATTAGTATTAACTGAATTGTCTTTTTTTAAAGTGAGATTTCCCCACTCAATTGAATTACATATTATCCTTTTCAAATTGGTAGAACATCATATATGCTCGATGAGCCAGTGGGATTGGTTGCAAATGTTTCGTCACCGTGCTAGATAATATCATCAGTGCACCTCCGGTGAAGCTTCATGGGAGGCGCACTGATGATGTTAACCAGCAGGGTGATGAAATATTTGCAACCAAACCCACCAGCCTGGCGAGCATGTCTGCAAACTCATCCACAACCTGAGCAACAAATTGTCTCAAAAACATCATATAATAGAATCAGGATGCACAGAAGAGAGAGTGGTTTTGTTCAAAAAGAAACCAACATCGAGAAATGAAATTAATTTTCCAAATAAGACCAACATAAAACATCTGACGGTCAGGTGAAAATAAAGTAAAAGTAGGCATAAACACACTCTCAAAGTAATTGATTCATTGTGGTAAGCAGACACGATATATCCTGCTTAAACTACCCAATATCAGAATATATTTTATCCAAAATTTTCCTTTCCCACTTTAGAATGGAATGGAACCAGGACAGCAAACAAAATGGCCACCTTGTAGTGAGGTCGGAAATCTCATGTCCATTTCTACTCTCTGTTGTTTCAACAAGAGTGGAGAAGGTAGCAGGCTTCTGAATCAATCTGCTTCTTTTATCGAGACAGCTTAGATTGTTGTGGGCTCATTCAGATCTCATCCAGAACAAGTTTTCCAATCTCTGGTAAGGTGGTTGGAGCTCAACAGCTGATTGGAATCAGACTGGCTCATTGTGGAGAGACCAGGTTGGCTGTGAGCGTTTTGTGTGAAGTTGCACTACAGAGGCTAAACATAGCAAAGGAATCCTATCTAACTGTACAAAAATTAACTGATTTTAGAAATGTATCACCGGCTTTCACAGCTTCTAGACTACCCAATTCCATCTGAATTGCACAAAATTTGAGTTTTTGGAAATTTTCTCCAAAAGCAAATGACAACTGCAACCATATTTATTGCTTTGGGCCAGACTGTGGTCCATTTTCCTGGTGACATGCCTCCATTCCTGGTCACTCAGCCACTATTTAGACCCAGACTCCATCACTAGAATCATTAAAGCTGTGACCCTTGGAAAATCACACTTTTCATAGACTGGTAATGGAGGTGGGTTTGCAAGGCAGAATTGCCTGTCATGAAAGGTAAAATCTGGTTCAAGCACCTTTTTAAGAAAGGTGAGTATAGCAGCAAGTGAACAAAAGGTTGACAACATTTAAGAGCACAAGGCATAATGTCACTGTTCACTTTCTCTGACAATGTGTGTATGTGCAGATGTAATTACAAGCTTTTAAAATAAATGGTATCTGTTTAATTTTAACCCATCAGTTACAGACCCCTATGAGAACAATTCCTGGAGCTGCCTTGAAATGCATACGTATTTGGAAATATTTGGGTTTCTGGGAGCCATGTGTTTTACTTTTTTCCCCTTCTTCTGGTACTGAGCTGTTCTGTTTTGGGCAGTTTAACAAACAGGAGGCAAAACTGCAAAAATACAGATCTTTCTTTGAGCATGGCTTTGTATTATAAATGAGATTTGAATCAGTTTTGGCCTGAAGTAAACCACTGCAGAGACCAGGTCTGTACTGGGACTAATTTGAAGGCACAAAAGTGCAAACAACAGATTTGCTACCACATCAGTTTGATTCCATTTGCCATATAAGCTTTCATACTGTTTGCACAAAAGGAGGGAAGAAAATGGAAGAAGTCTAGTTTTATTTGCTTAATGGTTACTTCAAATGGGCACCACTTTGAGTCAGAAATGTTAACCGAGCAATTCAATCAACAGTGTAAATTGAACAATGGAGCTTGGTTAAAGAAGGGGGATGTGATAGAAGCAAGGTATAAATACAATAATGGATTTGTACTCTCCAATCTGATCTACACAATTGCAATCCAGTGGCCAGCGCAAATGTTAAAAAATCTGATCTGTTAAGTTAGTATCAAAATAAAGATAAACCATCTTTAGAAAAGATTTCATGTTGGCACCAATTCAGAAACATAACAAAAGTAGAAATTTTATGAGCTAAAAAGCTAATTTGTTTTGACAAGGCAGTCTTTTTTGATCTCGACAGTTCATTGTAAACAATTAGTAAATTTTCTGTCAGGTTTGGAAGTATCAATAGGAACAAGAGTCTTGTGAGCATGCCTGATGATCTTCTCATGTGGATTTGCATCACACTTTACAATTAAAATTAAATGAAAATGAATGATGGTGAACATAGCTGTAAAACTATTTGCCTGTTTTTGTTTCAGCTGAATAAAATGAAAGATTTATATGAGAAGATAAATGAGCAATGTGAAGCTTACAAAGAGTTAATCTGGTCGCAGAATGAAAATCGCGAGGTAGGAATTTTATTGATCTGTTTTTAAACATAAATATGTTTTATCCATTGTATTTTTACTTGGCTGTTTGTGTCTGGCTTAATGTAGAAATTATGATTTCTGTGTCATTAATATGGTATGAAACAAAGTCAAGTTCTGTTTTGGAAAGTATTTACAGATTAGTTGTACTTTTTTTAAAACTAGGTTTTGCAGGTGGGTTTAAATATGACAAATTTGCAGCAATATATTTATTTTTGTTGCAGTAGCAGTTTTGAACTTGAGGATGTAGGAAGGCAAATGTGTTTTGCACTATAACCCACACTTCAGTCTCTGGTGATAGCTAGGGATATATTTTCAATAGGCTTATAATTAAGGTGCCGTGTACCCTCAGACTCTATTAGGACACATACAGGATTGAGCCAAAAGTGGTGCACATCATGTTTATTAGCCTTAATTTTTTGATTCACACCCACAAATAATTCTAGGTCTTTGACTAGATAATGCGAAAGGCTACATTAGCAATTTATTTGAGTTCAATATTTATCACTAAAATCAGCAATTGCTGGAAATACTCAGCAGGTTTGGCACCATTTGTGGAGAGAGAAACTAAATTATGGTTTCAAGCCAAATATGACTCTTCAGAACTAAAGGAAGGTGGAATATGTGATCTGTTTTATGCCATTGAAAATAGGAAGGAAGAACAAATGGGAGTATCTGTGATAGGGTACAAATCAGAAAGATTAAATGACTAGTATGTCATGGAACAAAAGATAAAGCAAATGATAATGGTTGCAGCAAAAATGCAAATGCTGCTGTTAGCTCAGTGAGCTACATGGCTAGCATATAGCTCAGGTTAACATCATTCACACATAATCATGGCCCAATTCCTGGGGCTCTAGGGGCGTTGGGATGCTTGAGTAGGTGGTCCAGACCAGGAGCAGCACCATGATTTCTATCCATGCTCTTAAATCCAATAGGTTTCTCTTGGACGATTTTGTATTTAAGAGTGAGTAATTATTAACTATTTGGTTATCAGCTTCTTTTGTGGAAACTAAATATTAGGCTTAAATTCAAAGCTTTGACTTGTATGTTTTCATCATGCATGTGCCATGCTGGAGATTATTATAAAACCTTCACATTAGAATAGTGATTTGGTTATGCCAAAAAGTATATTGGAGGCCAGTATAGTTCTTCAAGTGTCTTGTTTCATGGTAAATGCTTCATTTCAGAGTCTTATTAAAAGGGGCTTGGAAATCCAAATTTTTTTACATATGCCTCAAACTTTATCAAGGGATATGTGTTCTTTTCTGAGTTGGTTTATGTACCCAGCATTCAGTTAAAGTACTCTTGTGGACTGAAATTAATAGCATGTAAAATGCCATTGGTTTCTTCCAGAAGAATTAGTGAGCTGCAGGTACTGGTAATTGAATTACCCTCGTTAGGTTGTGTACCAGGTTTCCACTGAGGTGGTTTTAGAATTTCACTAACTTTTTAATAAATTTACAATCCTTTCTCTCAATTCTCTTCCTGCAGTTTTTCAATTAGAGCACCAAATTTCTTTGCCAAAGAAGCTGAAATGTTGGAATTGGAATGGTAAAATTTGACTTGATAATACTAAGCGATAAAGGTAGTTGGAAGATCTCTGATTTTAATTAATATGGACTCTTGTTCTTCAGAAAGTTCATGAAGACCTGACAGCAGCTAATAAAAAGTTAAATCATTGGCGCAGTGAATGTTCTGAGAAAGATGCACTGATTGACGCTATGAGCATGGAACTACAAAATGTGAAACATAGCTTTGAGAGAGAGAAAAATTCTGTTGCTGAGGCTAAAAATGAAATTCAAAAACTTGCAAGGGCACATCAAAAGGATACAGAGGTAATGAGATGAATTGCAAGGTATTCTCATAAACTGAATGTTTGTTAATGGTTGGATATATGAATCATCATTCCACATTGCCCATGTTATTACTACTTATTGTTGCTTTGGCAGCTCTTGTACTTGACTTAAGTTTTGTAATGAGGTTATTATATTTGTTCATTTATGTAATTATTAGTCTTTAATTTTTGTTATGGATAACAACAGGCCTAATACATAGACTTATTGTAGTGAAGCTGTCAACTGCCAGAGAATGTATCAGTGAGAATGCAAATGTTCTGATAGTTTGTTATTAAAGTACTGTTTATTATCTCTTGATAAGCTTGAACTAACATTGTATACAATAATATATCCGTGTGAATACATCATAAATGTCCCATGAGACCAGTCACAAATAAAAAGTAATAATATTGCCCTTATTTAGTTAGCTGTCAGTTACAGGAAATAATTTCACTCGAATGAGAGTTCTCATGATGATTAAACACCTCAAGTTTTACACTTAGAAATCATGATTTTAGCTGAAACATTCAAGTAAGGTTTTATCTTGTAATTACTCATGCGCCAAATTTTCTATCATGTTTTATGAACTTATGAGCCCCCATGAATTATTTCCAATTTCCATCAAATTCTAATGCCATTCCCCACCAACTCCCAAGTCATTTTCATCAAAGGTATCAATCTCCAACAAGATTCCTGACTGTATTGGAAGGATATATGAGCTCTATTATCTCCTTGGAAAGCAAATACATATTGGGTTCGCAGCTTCTTTTGACAGTGGCTTCTGGGCTGTGACATGATAACCTGAATGTAATAGTAATGAAGACCAGTCAAGGAAAGTTTGATTCGAAAGCAAAACTCCAGGACTTGAAAATGAAGACAAAAAAAAATTAAATTCTCCAACTCCTCTTCTATGTTGCACTGTGATTTAGGAATTATTTGAGTAGATGAAGAAAAGAATGAAGAACACCCTGAGGAGGAAACTGGAGACAAGCGAAGGAGAACTGCCCTACTGTTCTGTACGTAGGAACATGTCTTTCTATAGGTAGCGATGTCACTTTCACACCTGCTTCAATGTGAAACTGCTTGCTGCAAGCAGTGAGATCTTGGGATCTCCATCAGAAAGTAGGCTCATACCATCACCAACGCTTGAATAAATGTAAAGATTTTGAGGAAATTAGACCCAGTTGGACATCTGAATCAGTAATGGGATCTTTTGGAAATCATTGCAAAATAAACTATTCTGCAGGCTTGGATGAAAGTTCAGCATTAGTATTAGGTGTTTTCTCTGCAAGATCTGCAGTGATAATAAGAAGGACAGCTGGTATTAGTAGTTCTTCAGATACTTGTTTGGTAGTCAGCACTGTGATCTGGTGCTCCTGTAATCTCTCAATAAATGGTATAGTATTTGCACAATCATCCAATACAGTATGTGCACTTTCTTTTGTTGCACATCACTGTTATGTGAACCCCTAGATAATACTATGCAATGAAAAATAAAGCTTTTCTTTTTTGAGGGCTCCTCCTCAAATTTTGTTGATGAATATTTTTTGAGTTTTAGAGACTACTTCTTTATTCTCACTAACTCATTTATTAGCTGATGCTGTCACTTGGTAAAAATACTTTGTGTTGACATTTGGGGTATTTGAAATTGCTTGCAAACATTATTATTATAATTAATTAATATCCTCAATTATCAACTCTGCATTAAAGCCACAACAGAGAAGGAAAATTTTAAGTTCCTAACTGCAACATTTAAATTGGTACAAGATAATGAGCATAGTTTGATGTTACAACTGTAATGGGAGGTGTCATTAAGTCCCAATACACCGATTGTGCCATTACTCTGAGAGTATTGAGTCAATTATGAAAATGGCCAAATGCTTCTCCTTTGTGCTCGCGAGAATGAGAGATGTTTGTCAGGCTGCTTTAATAAACTCAAAATGATCTGCTTCTTATAAGTAAGACATATTCTTAAAGTAAACATAGAACATAGAACAGTAGAGCACAGTACAGGCCCTTCAGCCCACAAACTATACTTGGAAACACTAGTTGATACCTAAGTTAAAGTTTGAAATTGAAATTATATTGCCTGAACTGCAAATACATGTGCACAACTGAGAAAGACTGACTGCAGAGATGATGGTTTCTTTAAAAAAAAAGACAATAGGAAAAGAAAACTCTGTTGACTAATGTTCTGGAAATAGGATAGAAGTAGATTTCTTTACACATCACAGGATTTCCTGTCAACAAAATAAAAATGCTGTCAAGCTTAGACTGATTTTAGAACATCAGTTCTGATTATGCTCAATCTAGATTTGAATCTTTGGGATTTACTCATTGTCCGTCTCTTCAGTTTTTATGAGGTAGTCAGAAATACTGATATTTGGAAACTCTTCCACTGGGAACCTGCTAACTTTACTGAGAAAAGGATTTCATGGGATACTTGTAGCTTCTGGATTATCTGTATTTTCCAAGTATAGTAGCTTCTGAACTTGAGCAAACTTAAACACGATATTGCACGTTCATTCGCAAGGAATTCATTACCTTGGTGATTTGAAATTTTCATGGATTCCAGCTAGGTAAGTATTCCTTTACTGACCAGTTTAAAACTGTTTGCTGTTCTTTGCAGTCACCTTTATCCACCTTTTTATATAAAGTACTTTCCTTCCTTCTAACATTGTTTCTTGCAGAACAATCAAAGGTTTTCTGATTATGTAGTTTCCATTTTATTTCTGACCCCAAAATGTGTATTCACTCTAATGACTTCACCTAATTTAGTTTACAAATATCACCTAATTTAGTTTACAAATAAATTTGTGGAAGAAAGGGAAAGCAGAATTCTCTGCAGTTAAGTTAGTGTTTGTTTTGGAAATCTGTAGAGCAGACAAGTTCCAATTTGGGGAAAAAAAAGTGTCACTTCTTCTTGATGCTGTGAAGTAAGTGCTAAACCTTCAATTAAATTCTCAAGTTCGTGCTACAAACTAATGTGTTTTAATATTTTGATTTAATTTGTCATTTCAACAGGATTTCCAGTGTAATGCTTGAAACACTGCTTAACCACTGTGAAGAGAAAACATTAAAAATAGGAGTAGGCCATACAGTCTGTGCCTGCTCCTCTATTCAGAAACCCAGAATTGTCGCAATGCAGAAAGAGGCAGAATAGCTGATTATCTATCTCACCTTCCGGCATTCTCTCCATATCTATTGATTTTATTTTTATGGAAATCTATTAATTTCTGTCTTGAACAATGATTGAGCTTTCACAGCTATCTGGGGTAGAGAATTCCAAAGATTGGTCAATGAAGAAATTCATCCTCACCTCTGTCTTAAATAGCCTATCCTTTAACCTGAAATTATATCCCTGGTTTTAGATTCACCAGCCAGAGAAAATATCTCACTTGCATTCACCTTGTCATCTGCAAGAATTTTATAAGTTTCAGTGAGCTCACCTTTCCTTCTTCAAAACTCCAGGAAATACAGATCCAGTTTCCTCCATCTGTCCTCAGGGATTAATCTGGTTAACTTCTATAAACATGAAGAAGGAACAAGAGTAGGCTACTTGGCCTGAGCATGCTCTGCCACTCAATAGAGCAAGGCTTAATCTTATTTTAACCTCAAATTTACATTCCTGCATATCCCTGATTATCCTTCATCCCCTCCGTTATCAAGAATCAATCTACATCTGGCTTAACAGTATTTGAAGATTCTGCACCACTGCCTTTTGAAGAAGGGAATGCCAAAGTCTCAACCTTCTGAGAGGGAAAAACAAGTCTCTGTTTTAAATGAACACCTCCTTACTTCTAAACTATGACCCCTAGTTCTGGATTCTCCCATTCATGAATGTCTCCTGACCACAAATAATATTGAACCCATGCATACTATAACAACTATTTCCTTTTAGTAAGACATTCAGTCTTGATTTGTTTTGGCATTGTGAATTTTCAAAGTGGCTTTTTAACTTTTGTTCTCCATGTCACCATGTGCTAGTCAAATGTTGCCAGTGATAAATATTCCTAAACTTCATGATTAAACAGAATACTGCCAACTAGTAATTAAAAATAAGGGTTTTCAAACTTATCATTATGAGCCTTTGGGGTTTAAACTAGGTGATCATAAAGTTAATAATGAATCTGAAGATTTATAACACCGCATTGGTTTAACAGTGTATTGATTTTTGGAAGAAATTTATAGAGAAATCAACTATTGCCATAGAGTCTGACAGCGTAGAAACAAACACTTCAACCCCCATGGCTTCGCTGACTACACTAATTCCTTTTACTTGCACTTGGTCCATAGCCTATAATGCCCTGGCATTTAAAGTGCTCATCCAGATGCTTCTTAAATATTGTGACAGTACCTGCCTCCACCCCTTCTCAGGCAGCATGTTCCAAATTCCTACCACCCTCTGGGTGAATTTTTTTTCTCTCTCAAATCTCCTCTAAACCACTTAATCCTCATCTTAAACCTATGCCCTCTGGTCTGAGACATGTCTGACATGAGGATAAGATTCTCGCAATCTGTGCTGTCTATGGCTCTCATAATTTTGTCATAGCTCAATCAGATCCCCCTTCTGCCTCCTTTGCTCCAAGGGAAACAAACCCAGCCTGTCCAATCTCTCATATTTGAGACTTTTCATTCCAAGCAAAATCCTGGTGCTCCTCTGCATCCTCTCCAGTGCAAACATGTCCTTCTGATAGAGTGGTGACAAAAACTTTTTAGAGCATTCCATCTTTGGCCTAACCAATGTTTTATTAAGTTATAACAAGACTTCCTTGCTCCTACATTCTGTGTCCTGCTACGTTGAAACTTCAACCACTTGAGCAGCTTCATTCCCAAGAATTAGGTCTGGCACTGCCCCCTTTTCTAGTAGAATTATCTATGTATTGCCACAATAAAATCTTCTGGATGCACCTTAAGAATGCCACCTCATGTAATCCTTTCACACTCAGGCAATCCCAGTTAATGTTAGCAAAGTTGAAATCCCGACAACTGTAACCCTTTTTCTCTCACACCTTTCTGTGGTTTGCCTATATATCTGCTGTTCTGTCTCCCTCTGACTTTTGGGAGGCCTGTGGTATAATCCTAGCAAAGTAATGGCCACGTTTTTATTTTCAAGCTCTACCCAGATGGCCTCATTTGAAGATCCTTCTCGTAGATCTCCCTTATTGCTGCACTCATGGTTTTTCTTTATCAATTATGCTATGTCCCCACCTCTCTTACATTCCCCCATCATGCCTGTAGCTTCTATTACCTGTATACCTCGGTACACAAGTTTATCATATAGAAAATATGTTGTTTTCTACCCTGTCTAAATAATGCTTGCTGATTTATTCATCAAAAATATCTGGCCATAAGTGTGATTACTTGTTCTGGGAAGGGTGATAAAAAGATTGCTGTGGAATCTGATACAACTTTTCTCTGTAGTAGCAAGTTGTGGGAAAAAAAAGACCTTGCAAGTATAAATTGCTAAACACTTGCATTATTCAGATAGAATTGCTGATAGCTAGTTTGTCCTCGTGTCAGGTCACCTATTTCTGCTAGCCTCTGTAATAGTTTAGCAGTAATACAAAATATTGATTAGAAGAATATGTTCAAATGTTTTATTTTGTTACTTCATCATTATATTTTATAGTTTTTGTTTTTGCTTACAATATTCTTAGACTATTATTCTAATACACTGGCATTTTTCTCACAGGAGAAGCTGACCTTCCTTCATAGTTTGTACCAGCGACTAGTAGCAGGCTGTGTCGTCATGAAGCAACCAAATGGCCTGTTGGCGAAATTTTCTTGGCCAGAGCTTTGCACAATTCTGCAAGAGAACATTGACATCCTTACTTCAGATCTGAACAGGGCTAATGAAAAGGTAACTTGCTTGATGTTGCAACTCATTTAGCCAATGACATTTGTCTGTATCACAGCATGGTTTGTTTTAAGACAGGTTGACAGTCAACTTTTTTCAAAAGGAATTTTCTTTTTAGTAATTCAGAAACATTAATTATAATTTGTCTCTAGCACAGTTTTGTTTCCATATCTGAGGGGATACAAATGCAACTGAAGTCGGAGTGAATACTCCAGGCGCCATTGGTCTCACAGATTTGAATGTTGTTCTATACTTTTCCCAGGTTTGCTAATCCCACTACTGAGAATTAGCCATAGGGACCTAATTAGAGAAAGATAAATTCATCTAAGTTTTGTCAAGAAGGAAATTTAAATCTTTTATGCATTTTTAGTAATGAAACAAAATCTCATTCACAATACATAAGAATGTACACCTGCAAAATAACTTGTACAAGTCCTTATACAAGTACACTGGCCCTATCCCCACCTCTTCCTCCGTTACATCGATGACTGTATCGGCGCCGCCTCGTGCTCCCACGAGGAGCTCGAACAGTTCATCCACTTCACTATCACCTTCCACCCCAACCTTAAGTTCACCTGGACCATCTCCGATACCTCTCTCTCTCTCTCCTTCCTGGACCTCTGTTTCCATCTCTGGCAACCACCTGGAAACCAATATCCATTTCAAGCCTACTGACTCCCACAGCTACCTAGAATACACCTCCTCTCACCCACCTTCCTGCAAAAATGCCGTCCCCTATTCCCAATTCCTTCGCCTCCGCTGCATCTGCTCCCGAGATGAGGCATTCCACTCCCAGACATCCCAGATGTCCTCATTTTTCAACGCCCTGGACCGCGTCTCTCGCGTTTCCCACAACTCATCCCTCACACCCCCTCCCCGCAATAACAACCAAAACAGAATCCCCCTCATCCTCACGTACCACCTCCCAGTCGCAAACCACTTCAACTCCCGCTCCCGCTCCTTGGACAACATGTCCATCCTGGGCTGCCTCCAGTGCCACAACGATGCCACCCGAAGGTTGCAGGAACTGCACCTCATATTTTGCTTGAGAACCCTGCAGCCCAATGGTATCAATGTGGACTTCACAAGCTTCAAAATCTCCCCTCCCCCGACCACATCCCAAAATCAGCCCAGCTCGCCCCGGCCTCCCTAACCTGTCCATCCTTTCTCCCACCTATCCACTCCTCCCACCTCAATCCCCACCCCCACCTCCTACCTACCAGCCTCATCCCCGCCTCCTTGACCTGTTCATCTTCCCTGGACTGACCAACCCCCACCCTAACTCCCCACCTACACTCACCTTTACTGGCTCCATCCTCGCTTCCTTGACCTGTCCGTCTCCTCTCCACCTATCTGCTCCTTTATCCATCTTCCATCCGCCTCCCCCTCTCTCCTGATTTATTTCAGAATCCCCTTTCCCTCCCCGATTTCTGAAGAAGGGTCCAGACCCAAAATGTCAGCTTTCCTGCTCCTCTGATGCTGCTTGGCCTGCTGTGTTCATCCAGCTCTACACCTTGTTATCTCTTATACAAGTCGATGCTGTCCTCCAATGTGCCCAATTTGAAGATGCAGACCATAAATAATATTGATATCACCCTGTAATGTATTTGATGTTTGCCTAGTGATCTACAAGCCACCATCAAGCTTGAAGAATATGGTAAGGCAAACTGGAGTAGGAGTCAACTTGAGATCCAGAAAATGAGCATAATTAATTGGAGCTGGTTTTACAGATTATTCTTGGAGTCTGATACTGAGGATAATGCATAGCATGAATATGCTGCTACCAATGTGAATGCAAAATAGGTTGAGAAAACATTTTTGATGGTACAAGTGATTGTTGTACAGACATATCTAGGGCCTAAACATTATTCCTGTTCAGACTGAGCCAATGATCTGGGCTCCTCCCTGGAGGTGGCATGAGTGGAAATAATTAGGCAATACTTGCGCCCTTCTCGCCACATCACCAATCAAATGTTGGGCAAGATGGCCTTTTTGGATTTTCTTAATTCACCAGCAATTAAGACTGTTAAGTGGTCTTTGCAGGCAAGAAAAATGACTGGTTTCCCCACTAGGTAACCAGGAGACTTGCCTGCCATTTTGAGGGGTGTGACATTATTTGTGTAGGCTGGGGCAATGGGAGGCAATGATAGGGAACAAGATGGTTAGCTCTGAATGCCAATGCCTACCCTAGTCTCAAACCCTCTGGTCCACCCTGTACCTATGACCTCCACCTTTTGAGAAGCAAAGTAAAGCTTCTACCTTCTCACCTGAGGAGTAGACCTCAACCAACGGTATTTAGGACTTTGAAGTTGATGACCTCAGTAAAGCCCAAATAGGTTAAGAGGCCTGCTGTTCAGCTCTTAACAACCTAACTGACATGAAATATAGTGAATTTTCTTTACAGCCGGGGTGACCAGTCAATAATTAACACACCAGCTCCCACAATAGGTCTCATAAAGAGAAAATCTTGCCCTGAGTGTAATGAGTTTGTATTGTTTCAATTCTGCTTTCAGTGGCTGTCAAAAAATGGAAGATCTAATAATTGGCTAAAATCAATCTTTAAGGATGAAAATTGGATGCCACATGAATTTAGTTAGAATATTACCGAGGTTGCACAGCAGTGTGATGGGGAGGGGAATTTACTTTGTATCTGATCCATTCTGTACTGTCCTTGTTACCTAAAATAAATATTTGTGAATTTGACATTTTTCACAGTTTTGTTGCACTAGCCCCAAAAGCAAAACTTGCAGGTATCATAAAACAGTAAAAAATCATTCTTGCTGCTGTTTAGCTTCAGAATTTCAGTTCTAGATTTTATTTATCAATTGCGAATTGAATTGATAACCATTCAAAAAATACTACTGTTTTATTTTGTGGTTTGTGAAAAACAACAAATGCATTTTGTTAAAAAGAAACTGATTGCATTCAGATTTGGATAACTGCACCATGTTATCAGTAACAGTTCAGTGACACCCAATTTGTGTTTCGCAAGGACCATTCAGCTCCTAATCTCATTATAGCCTTGGTTCAAACATGGACAAAAGAGCTGAAACCCAGGGGTGATGTGAGAGTGACAGCCCTTGACATAAAGGTCACATTTGACTCAGTGTGGCATCAAGGAGCCCGAGCAAAACTGGAATCAGTGGGTATCAGCGAGCAAACTCCCTGCTGGTTTGAGTCATACCTAGCACAAAGGAAGATGGTTGTGGTTGTTGGAAGTCAGTCTTCTCGGCTCCAGGACATCTCTGCAGGAGATCTTCAGGGTAGTGTCACAGGCCCAACCATCTTCAGCTACTTCATCAATGACCTTCCTTCTATCATATGGTCAGAAGTGGGTGATGATTGCACAATGTTCAGCACTATTCACGACTCCTCAGACACTGAAGCAGTCCATGTTCAAATGTAACAAGATGTGGGCAATAACCAGGCTTGGGCTGAGATCCTTGGGCAAGTATCATTCATGCTCCACAAATGTCATAAAATGGCCATGTGCAATAAGAGACATCTGATCACCAGCCTTGACATTCAATGATGTTACCATTGCTGAATCCCCCACAATCAACATCTTTTGGGTTACCATTGAATAGAAACTCAACTGGACTCACCACACAAACACAGTGGCTACAAGAGCAAGTCGGAGGCTAGGATCAGTACAGTGAATAATTCACCTCCTGACTCCCAAAGACTGTCCACTATCTACAGGACACAAGTCAGGTGTGTGATGGAATGCACCCCACTTGCCTGGATGTTGCAGCTCCAACAACACTCAAGAAGGTTGACACATCCAGGACAAATCAGCCCACTTGGCGCCACATCGACAAGCATCCAGTCCTTCCACCATCGACGCTCAGTACGCACTGTGCTCCTATCTACAAGATGCTCTGCAGAAATTCACCAAAGATCCTGAGACTGCACCTTCCAAACCCACAATCACTTCCATCTGGAAGGACGATGACAGCTGATACATGGGAACAACACCACCTGCAAGCCACTCACCATCCTGACTTGGAAATATGTTGCTGTTCCTTCACTGTCACTGGGTCAAAATCCTGGAATTCCCTTCCTAAGTATGTGGGCTGCAGCAGTTCAAGAAGGCAGCTCACCACCACCTTATCAAGGCCAACTGTGGACAGGCAATAACTTGCGACACCCACATCCCACAAGTGAATTAAAAAAATGTGCCTCTCAGTTTTTATGATAGTGGTTACACTGAATATTGACATATTCACAAGACATGGAGAGAGCACAATTTGTCTTAAAAGTGAAGTGCTGGGGCATTAGTATTTTAAAATTTAGATCAGTGAATTAGATTGATTAATTTATTTTATTGTTGTCACATGTACTGAGGTACATTGAAAAATGTTGTTTTGCGTGCTATTCCGGCAGATTGTACTATACAAAGTGCATCAGAGTAGCAGAACAGAGAGCAGAATACCGTGTTACAGTTCAGAGAAGGTGCAGAGAGAGAGCGATCAGATTTAATCATTTGAGAATTATGATAACAGCGGGGAAGAAGCTGGTCTTAAATCTATTCGTATGTATACTCAAACTTTTATATCTTCTGCCAGGTGGAAGAGAGTATAACCAGGGTGGGAGGGATGTTTGATTATATTGTTTGCGCTCCCGAGGCAGTGAGAAGTATAGATGGAGTCAATGGATGGAAGGCTAGTTTGTGTGATGGACTGGGCTTTCTTCATGACTTTCTGTCTCTTGCGGCCTTAGGAAGTGTAGTTGCTATATCCCATGCTGTGATGCATCCAGGTAGAATACTTTCTATGTGCATCTATAAAAATTGATAAGAGTCCTTTTGAACATGTCAAATTTTCTTAGCCTCCTGCGGAAATAGAGACATTGTGCTTCCTTGACCGTTGCGTCTGCGTTGATGGACCAGGACAGATTGTTGGTGAACATCACTCCCAGGAACTTGATGTTCTCAACCATTTCCACTTCAGCACAATGATGCAGACAGAGACGTGCCCTCCACTCTCTCAAATCATTGACCAGCTCCCTCATTTTGCTGATATTGATAGTGAGATTGTTGTCTTTACACCACACCACCAAGCACTCAGTCTTTTTCCTGTAATCTGTCTTGCTATTGTTTGAAATCCGACCTACAATGGTGGTGTTGTCAGCAAGCTTGAAAATAGGATTGGGGCAGAATTTGGCCATGCAATAGTGTGTGTATAAGAAGTATGGTTGGGGGCTGAGTATGCAGCCTTGTGGGGCACTGACGTTGAGGATTATG